ATCTTCTTGTTATTTCTTTGCTCGTGAATTTATTAAATTATTCCAACTCTCCGCACTCAAACCAACGTTTTAAAGTTAAGTTCACGACTGGCTATGTACGGGGACAGCCCGTGTGAGCTTCATTGTTAACTTAACCGTGACCAGAAAGAAAATATATTAGAAAAACAATAAGGACTCATTTAGTATTTTATCATTTTTCTTCATTCAAAAGTATTTACATGACCTAGGTTGAACATAAAGTTCAAAACAATAAAGACTGAGTTATCACAATGCCACTATAAAGTTCAAAAATCTTTGCTGAAAATTGTATATATGTTCATTTAGCTCATTAAGAAAAGATTTAATAAAGCCTGCCGNAAGATGGAAACTCTTGGGCTCAGGTTATTTTTTACGCGTGCAAAAGAAGGAGAATGTGCTTCGTTTACATTGACAATGCTCGGTTTGATCACGGACGGTAAGAACTTGAGGTTTATACCCGTCTTGAATTCAGGTGGAATTACAGCATTTCGAGCGTTAGTTAGATTAATTAATTTCATGGGATTTCACAGACCACGGCTCCAATCAACATAGGCAATTGTCTAAATAGAAACTTCCCTTTCGCGCTCTCTTTCGCTTCATGCTCAATGACTCCTGACGCAATACTGTTGTGAATTACATGTTCGTTCGCCGCGCTGAGTAAAAGATATTAATGGAAGACTATTGTACATTACATGTCCATTTGCGACTCCACGTGGCCTTGTGAAGAATCTTTTTTCAAGATTAATGTAAGCTATACATATCCGTTCGCCTTACGCATTCCTGTATAATGGATCCTATGGAAGAGTGTATAGTGCATTGCATGTCCATTTGCGACTCCACGTGGCCTTGTGAAGAATCTTGCTTCAAGATTATTGTAAGCTACATATCCGTTCGCCTTACGCATCGCTGTTTAATGGATCCTATGGAAGACTGTATAGTGCATTGCATGTTCGTTCGTTCGCCTAGCCAAGAAAGGGATCAAAATCGTAACGTTTTGAGCAGATGGGGCGTGAAGGATCAGTTTGTTATATCGACGGATGTTCACGGATCTGATGATGATGCAATATTCGCCACAGCATATGTAAAGAGAAAGCAAGAACACGTTTGAGGATTACTTACTCGCCGTTCAGCTGCATGATCATTGTTTTGAAATTATTTTGAAATTTTGTTGACGTTTCGGCAGTTCGAAATCAATCAATATTTTTTTTAACTTTCGCTTAAAGAGGTTTCTGTTTAAATTAAAATTCAAAATTATCTAATATGATATCGACAGATGAGGTGCGAGTTGAATGTACCGATGTTATTCTATAAATTAAATTGCAGCTGCTCTTGCAAAGTTTAAATATTGGAACATAGCATCACAGCAATGAACATCAAAAGAAATGACGTTGTTATAGCTTTAAAGGCGTAACATTTACAAATTAATACTTTAAAATATTCATATATTGAATCAATATGCGAAAATAATGCGTCGATGGTATTTAAATGTGGTGTTGGATGGGAGCGCGCATTTCAATCATTTAACTTTTCAGACTACATAATACATATGGAAGCAAAAAAAAAATTTTTTTGAGATCCTTTAGGTATATTCTATTTAATAGTAATACTTGCACTGAGTAATAAAAGAAACTTGGTTCCGTACTCGGACATCTTGTTTCTTGATACTTGAGGCAACTGTTTGACTGACTTGAAATCGAAATATAAAAATAAAAATATGCCGTTAGTAAAAAAATAAAGTGCATGGACTAGAAGTTACATCCCGGGTTCAGAAATATATACACAAACAGGCGATAACACAGAAAATATTTTTTTCTTTGGTTTAAAAATTTCATTTGCTCGAATTTATTTAAGCCAAGTACGGCTGGAAGTAGTTAGAGCATCGCAGAGCGCGCTCGATTTGAGAATACTTCTTTTTCACATTACTTGCATCAAATGTCGTAATTTGAAAAATGCAGTACTTACAGTAATGAAATAAGCTTCAAACAACGTCAAAACCGTCACAACTAATAAGTAATGTTAGTTGATGAAAACGTATTTAATAAAGTATTCAATTCGAATTCATAACGGATAACGTATTCAATTTTCATCAATTTACATCATGTTAATTGATGAAAATTTGATTATAAAAAATTCCACAACGCAGATTTCTCCTTTTCATCACCGTTTTCAGAGCACCAAAATTCAATAAATTGCACGGATGTAAAAAACAAATATCTTTTTTGTTACTGTCCTGTTCAATTTATATTTGCTTGTGTCTTCAAATTGTGTAGATTCTGTGGACTAAATCTATTTATGTTATGATCAATAAATTTGCTAATATCTACCACCAAACATGTAATACTTGTTTACAACACATAAATATATAGTATCGATACATGTATATAGGTAAGTAAACGTTTTAATACAAACAGATACAGGTTTCAATAATATTCAATGATACGAACTAGAGTAGCAATGATACGAACTAGAGTCGTGGAACACAAACACTAAAAAATATAACTCAGTACTCACTGCGGTGAGTGACAGAGAGCGCATTTTCTCGTCGACGAAAACTTGAGGTCACGGACGGACGGACAGACAGACAGACAGACGGACATGGCGAGCACAATAGTGCATTTTTTCCATAAATGAGAAAATGCGGTAAAAACACATGTTTTATTATCGCTTTCCAGCCTCAAAGTCAATTCAACTTTCCTCCACATACACGGAAACAAACCTCCTCAGCCCGAAGGCCAGGTTGCGCCTGCCTGAAGCTATAGAATCCTTCGCTTTCTATCTTAGGGATAAAACCTACACTTATACGAGGGAAATGCACGGTATTGCAAACGATGTCAGCAACAGATAATATTGACTAGAATGCACAGTAATTAAGAATCACGGAGAACATTTTTTTTCTGCATTGCTGAATTCCAGCCTTGTCTCTCTTGTTATTTTTTATGATACCCATAAACTAAATATATTTTTAATATATGTAACATGAAATTGAAGATCTCAGAAATGCGCCTGGGAGAAATCCACAAACAATATTAAAGAAAATAAAAAGTAAAAACATTTTCTACCAAGTTTTTAGGAACTATTTCTATTCAAGTTTATGCTAATTTTTTTATAGAAGCATTAGAAATTTAATTGAATGCATCGAGCGCGGAAAATTTGCTATGCATCCGAAGAGTTTTTGTAATGCATGACTTGCATGAATGCAGATGGTGTTCCACGATAGTCTGGTGCGTGACGCTTCTGTACCGTCACTTGTTCATATTAGAGTGAGAGAAGATTGAAAATGATAGGAGTGTTAAGTTAAGCAATGAACGTTCAGGCGGACCTGGGGCCTTACTTTCAAAACTCGCTAAGTGAACGTAAGTACTTGCGCTCTATCTTCTTGTCTATGATTGGTGGATTTTGCTTGAAAGGCCGTCAATGATTGGCTGATGAACTTACGATCTCTTAACCTTTTTTTGAAAGTATGGGCCCAGGACAACAAATTAATACAAGATACGTATTTTTTTAATGGGTAAATCCAACTGAATTTGTTAGTTGTACATGCAAATAAATAAAGAAACGCCGTAAGATCTCATGGTTGTGCATGGTATTTGGCAACCAAGCTGGTTACCCCCATGCACCAAAAGAAAGTGAACCTTTCTCTCATGGGGCATGAGTATAGCGGGTTCGAAGAGGCTAATTTAGAACTATTTACAACTAATCTTTAGTAATATTAATTTTCCCCAATTTTTTGTGGGATGCAATTTCAATATTTAGATACTTAGTTAGATACTTAGTTAGTTAAATCCTGAATTTATCCCGTTTATTTGATTGAGAACTCTATATTTCATGCTAATTTTGAATCGATTAAAAATATTTCCTTGAATTTTGATTCGTTTGGATCAATTTTAGTGCTATTCATGTCTACAAAATAAATCTTGCAACTATCATCTTTTCTATCATTTCATTTGCCTATTAATTCTGTACGATATAAATCTGTCAGCAAACCTTATTCAAAAAAATGGCTATGCCTACAAATTCCAAGTCGGTTTCCCAGTATATAAATATTTCAGGAGGCCGTGCGCAATGCAGCTGCAGGCGGGCTGTTCGCAGTGGCGGGCGGCAGCGTTGGCAGTTCTACTCGCTGTCGTCTTCTACGTACCCGCGACTACAGCGAACAGCTATCGTCGTCCCGTGGTCCCGGTTAGCGATCCCATCGCAAGAGCGGCGCTGGCCGACCTCGCCTACGACGTGGACCAAGTGGCCGTCGTCAACATCGGGGATCTGCCAACTCTGAAGTTGGGGTCCAGCCGACAGACGTCCGAGAGAGAGTCGACTGCCAAAGTTGAAGGACCTCGAGTCGAAAACCAAGAGCGATCTTACGACCCCCACACGGTGGCTTCCATCCTTCCACCCATCGTTGCGGCCTATAGCAGTGGGGGTGGCGGATATGGAGGAGGTGGTGGATATGGTGGTGGTGGAGGAGGAGGGTATGGCGGGAGCTCCCACATAGTAAGCTATCGTACCTATGGAGGTGGTGGTCACGGTGGTGGGAGCTATGGTGGTGGAGATGGCTATGGAGATGGAGGCCATGGTGGTGGTGGTGGATACGGTGGACCAGTGGGAGAACAATTTATTGTAACGATAAAAAACAGCGGCGTAGGATACAGTGGAGGAGATGGAAAAAAAGGGAAAGGGAAAGGCAAGGGCAAAGGTAAAGGAGGAGGAGGAGGACCAGCTGGATATATCATCATCAGTGACGATGGTGGGTATGGTGGCGGAGGACAAGGGTATGGTGGAGGCAGCAGTTATGGAGGTGGTTACGACGGTTACGATGAAGGCTACGGATACAGTATCGAGGCCTATGAAATATCGGGAGGTAAAGGCAAGGGTAAAGGCAAGGGAGGAGGAGACTACGACGGCTACGGACACACGGGCAAAGGAATGAAGAAGCAACTCAAGGGAGTCTTCAAAAGTATATGGAAGGGCGTGAAGGAGGCGGAGAAGGCATACAAAAAGGCGTCCAAAGGAGGCAAGAAAGGCGGGGAAATTGAAACTCATGAAATTCATGAGATTCACATCCAACCAATCGTTCAGGACTACGGCGGTGGTGGTTATGGTGGAGGATCCGGAAGTGGCGGATATGGCCATGGCGGCGGAGGATACGGCGGTGGAGGACATGGCGGTGGAGGATATGGTGGTGGCGGCGGAGGATATGGAGGTGGTGGTGGAGGATATGGTGGTGGCGGTGGCGGAGGATATGGTGGCGGTGGTGGAGGATACGGAGGCGGCGGAGGAGGATATGGAGGTGGTGGACACAGAGGTGGTGGTGGTGGGTATGGAGGCGGTGGACATGTTGGAGGATATGGTAAAGGTGGGGGAGGTTCTTCAGGACACGGTGGACATGGAGGTGGTATTGGCCACGGCAGTCATGGCGGGTATGGTAGCAGCGTGGGCTATGACGACGGTGGCTACGTCGACGGGTACGCGAGGGTAGCCTACAGTCACAGCGCCGCGTACAGCGGGGGCGAATTAGTTGATCCCGACGACGAAGGAGATTACGGCGATTACAGTCCTGCCTTCACCGGGGATCAGCCTGAACATAGGGCGGGACGACACATCAGAGCTCTGGGCGATGTAGCAACTTCTCGAGATGGTGGACATGGTGGTTTTGACCATGGAGGAGGGTTTGATCACGGTCATGGTGGCTTCGATCACCATGGACATGGGGGTTTTGATATCGGACATGGAGGAGGTTATGGTCATGACTTTGGTCACGACGATCACGGGGGTGGTTATGGTGGTCACGGCCATGGAAGTAGTTTTGGTGGTCACATCGACTTCGGTCATGGAGGTGGATACGGAAAGATAAGTTTCAAACCCGCTCCATACAAGGGACCTCAGTTGGGACCTTACGACTTCATCCCGAAAGGTAAAGGAGTTCTCACAAAATCCGGTAAACTCGGCAATGACCCAGTAAAAGAGTCACTAAAAGCTCAATATCACGGAACTCATGAAAAGGCCATCGCCCACTTCGGAGGATTTGGAGGAGGAGGCAACAGAAATGGGCCGAGCATAAAGGGCTACACATATTTGGTTGATCACATAGACGGGCCCAAAGTCTCGGGTTACGGCCATTTTGATGGACACGGTGGACATGGCCATGGAGGGTACGGCCATGGTGGGGGACATGGGATCCATTTCAGTGGAGGACATGGGGGAGGCTATGGTCATGATATTGGTCATGGACATGGTGGAGGCTATGGTCACGATATTGGTCATGGACATGGAGGATTTGGACATGGACACGGCGGACATGGCCATGGAGGATATGGACATGGAGGTAGTCATGGACATGGCGGTGGCTATGGCGGTGGAAAAGGTAAAGGCAAAGGAAAAGGCAAAGGATTTGGTTTCAGCAAAGGACACGGGAAAGGCAAGGGCCATGGTCATGGCGGTTACGGCAAAAGTTTTCACGATGAAAAAGGGCACGACGACTTCGACCTCAATGACCACGGAAAACATTTTACGCCACACGACAAAACTTTGGACTCCTCAGATATCGGGTACGGCAGCCCAAACCACGAGCACAAGACTCCAGTCTACATACCCAAGCCAGCAGCCTCTTCCGCGCCTGACTTCGAGTACGGTACCTCAATTCATTGATCGGGAATGAAGGCTGAATTGGGTACGAATATCTTGATTAGTGTTAGAAAAACTTTGCTTATTTTGGGAAATATTTTAAAGAAGATTCGTTAAGAAGCTTCTAAATGAAATCGAACATATTACGTTAGGTTAATACTGAATCATTCGAGAAAATGTGCACCAATCGCTACCTATAGGCAATTAATGAAGTCACTTTTTTATGCCTTCCATTAAAAATTCCATTATTAAATTGAAGCTTCGTTTTCATGTACAAATGTCTTAATGGACAGAATTTTTTATCAAGAAATGACTTCTAAAGAATAAGAATAATAATATTTTCTTTATTCTAAATTACTAATAAGAATAAAATGCACATAAGATGCAGTAACACGATTGGTGGGGTGAACAAGTTACACAGACAATAATATTGAATAATAAGTGAAAAAAATAATAAAATGAAGATGAGAAAACAACGCAATTGTTTTCTCTGTTGTTAGAAAACAAAAAGTTGTCGATTGAAAATTGAAGAGACTGAAGTAATCCTCCTATGCAAAAACTCTGAGCTGAATCTGAAGCCAATCCCACCAGGCGTTGTTTGCTGTGCATATAAACTGTGATTGCGACAAATATTTTTGATTGCATAAAAATTTTCACTATAATATTAGTGACATCAATAAATATTTAATTTAAACCGAGCACTGAAATTTTCGCCGAACTATTCTACACCAAAAATATTGTCTATTTCGACCAACTTTTCAGCTCAAAAATTTAATCATTAAATAAAATAAATGTCACACTAGTTACTAGTTGAGTTCGCAAATTTTTGTTTGGGACTGAAATGTCGTTGCATTTTTGTTAATAAAAGCGCCGGAAAAGTTCATTGTTCTTACAAGTTTCAATTGTTATGTTTTATCATGAATTATGTTTAATGTTGATAAACTCGTGTTTTAAAATAAACGTTTTAAAAAGTTATCATTATGATTATCCTTAAATCGTTCACAAAACACGTACTATGTACACAGTACGACCTAAAGCTATGTACATTTCTGCTGCTAATTCATCACTAGGTATTGCAAATAAATTACAGTATATGGATTTTTATAAACTAGAAACTACTTCATTCCCCGATAAAATAGTCAATAGAACAGTAAATCTACACGAAAATGAACACTCCTGAGTAGCGCCAACGAAACAGCGAGATACTCGTTGCGCGCAAATCTATTTGATAATAATGTTCGTAAATTCAAAATTATTAGTTTCCTTGTTCACACTCAGCTTAGTAATTTGAAACTCGATAAGTCGCTAGATTGGCTCCAAGTTATAAGAAGCTTAGCGAATATAATGAAGGATAGAATTTTATCAACAAATGCCTATATATATGGCAGTAGACATAATTCTATCCTGCCGCTAATATACCGAGGAGTCTGCTCTTATTACAACTGCATCCTAACAAATTTCGTATTCTAATTATTATACATGAATGACATTATCAATACACAATTTAATGTCACTATCCTTCTCAAAATAAATTTGAAAATTGAGTATGAACTTAGGAGTAGTTGTATTTTTTAGTTATTCAACTGCTGTGCGCGGCGTTCATATCAACTTTATCATATCAAAATTTTGTTCGCACTAATTCAACAATAAAATAAATACCAGAGACTATACATGTTCGGGATAGCAGCTATATAAATAACTCCGTGGCTCGTCGTGATGAGGAAAAACTGCATGGACATATGCTCGTTATTTGTAATAATAATTGATAATAATACATGAATATCGTCTTCCATGGAATTTTAACTAGCATTTAAAAAATATTATAGCAAGTGGGACCATATAATATTATTATAACACAAGGCTTCTGTGGCTGCTCATGTCTTCGTGAAGAATGAAATATTGATTCATTTTTTTTCTAGTTAGCTGCAAGCAATTGACTTTTTGAAGATTGCGGGTAATACTAACAAAAGGCGAAAATTGAAATCCAAAATGCGCGCACTTTAAAATGAAACATTTGTACACTTGCCATTGAACCAAAAATGTTATCAGTCTAATTGCGTTCTTTTTGTTAAATATTTTACAGGATTGCTTCGCCGTGATATAACCGTCTGTGGAACGCTGTCCTCCCTAACCCCTCCTGAGTGATAGCAGGTAAAAACATACTCCCCCCACCCGGCTGTCCCTTCAAGTCACACTCCCCTTGCTATAACGGAACAAAGAGAGCACGCCGCGCTCTTTACTCCCGGCATTCTATGTTGTTTCGGGCAAGGGTCGCGGGTGTGAATTTGTGTGTATATCGCTGCTCTGGATAACACTGACTCGATCGTCGCCCGCTCAATGACCGAGCGCCACCCTCGCCGAAATGAAAGAAAACCCGAGCATCGAAGGGGATAAGCATATTCAAAACAGTCGAGGTCTGGCTTCTGAGTAGAGCGGTAGTGTGGCACGGGTGAACATCATGGTATCTGTAGTGGATAATCTTTAAAGAAAATGTATTTGAGTCGTATAGATAGTTTAAGATATTTTATCAACTGAAAAAAATTGCATAGCTAGTCCTGAGTACTTCCTTGCAGATATGAGTCAAGGTTCAAATTATACACTTTTTTAGAACTCCATAATTCAAGGCGGGCAAAATTTCGTCGCCCAAAATTTGCGGGCAAAAACAGGTCAAGGTCCTGCCATCTCCAAGATAGTGCGATCCGCAGATCCAGAGGATCAGAACGGCACTCAAACGGATCTCGGTTAAGATATTTTTCTTCAAGGGTTTACAAGAACGGAACGCACAAGGACCTACTGGAAAGTCCTTGATGAACATGACCCACATCACAAAGAATCACGAAGTAATTCCACTTCAGTGATTTAGAAATTACTCAGCATAATCAAAACTTGAACATGTATCATTAAAACACGATCGATTTTTTATTATGTACTATTTCGAGGTTTCTGAAAATCACGAAACCTTTTTCTCATGAAAGCTTAATACGACGAAGAAGCGTGATATTCTAACGTCTAACCCTAGACGAGAATTCTAGTTGATCAGAAAGCATAAATAAAGTAAAATTCTTGATAGATAGAAAAGAGCATAAGCTACCGTAAAAGTTGTGCCAAATATACAAACTTTGTGGTCTAAAGATGGAAACCCAGATTCATCCCTACCAAGTTTATGCTTCACGGGTCAACTATTCAACCTACTATACTACGAGTAAATCCTTCGAAGGATACTTCGTCTGGCAGAACTCGACCTTCACTGAAGATGATTTCCAGTCAACACAAACGACGATTTCGTTCTACTTCCTGGCAATAGGATATCTCGTGACAGGTGTCATTTGTTGCCGGTGTTATTACAGGCATCTTAGGTTAAAGTTCAGCTCCTCCAAACCAGAGGAAATGGGAGAGACAGCTGAAACAGGTATAACAGATGAAGAGTTCCGAGGTGTAACCATAGACAACGAATTTTTAGAAGAAAAATTTTAACATAAGAATAGGCCATGGTCAAATGAGTTTAGCCCGTTTTTAACAGTGAAATTTTATATTAATATTGAAAATTATTTTGTGCTAGAATAATTTTAAGAGAACTATACTAATATATAGAAAGACAAGAGAAACGTCTTCTTAGAATCCGAGTTCGTACAATGATGTAATGATGCATAGTACAAGCATTCTTTAAATCATTTAAACTCGACTGCAAAAAAGGCTACTTACAAGCGAATTTTCTAAGAAGTTTCCAAAAGATGCTGCTACTCAATAAATAATGCAATGGTTTGGATTTCGCAATACGTCTCAAGTGGATCGATCACCAAAAACTAACAGCAGAGTGAGTAATAATATAAATGATGAAATAAAATGAGTTATCATTATGAATTATTAAATAATAAATCAAAAAGAAAAAGCGCGTTACAACTCCATATCACTACTAAACTATTTGAGAGGAAAATGTTTCCCGCTCATGCCCTTTACGGCACAGCTTGCCGGCGTGAGTCGTGACTGCGCAGCATTGAATCAAGTACACTGAGAGGGTAAGGTTACAATAAATGCCCTCGTGGTTTTTTAGTTCAATTTTATCAAGCTTGATACAAAGCCTTGACAAGTTTGAGTTTCTAATCAGCCAAAATAAGACTTAACAAAATGTCGGCGTCAAGCATTCGTTCTGAGAAGCCTGGATTTTACGACATGGAAGTAATCGATGTTAAAGGTAAGTATTGTTGAACTGTGAACATGCCCCTAGCCTAACTAACTTGACGCCATCGGTTTCCATGCGGCGTGTCATCACTGTCATGCAAGGATTAAAATTTATGCCTAGCAGTTTCATCAAAGCGATTTAATAGTTTAACGTTTCATTTGATAATGAATCGACTATGATTTAGTTCAAGAGCTATGCCATCAAAATTTTTGTTGTACGATCTAATTTGTGAAATGTATTGTGTAAATTTATGTCGTTAGTCGTACTGTACCTAACTTTGTCCAAGCCGAGGCTAGTAGTAGTAGTACCTTATGTTAAGTCAAGTGTACCGTCAATCATTAGTCCCAATAACCTCGCCAGCACCCTGCAGCAGTAAAGTCGCCAGTCTTCAATATAATCGATCGATTTTATTACAAAAAACTAAACCACGTGTGTGTTTCAGTTTCAAACAGTTTCATAGCCATTGCGTGTGAATATCGAACCCTACAAGGCTATAAATCGTATGTATAACAAGTATTATACGGTTTTTAGAGACGAGCGGCGAGGTTAGTGCAGCGTCTGACTAGTCTCGACTTGTGTGCATTGCATCTTTGCATGTATTGGTTGGAACTTGGAAGTTTGAAGGGGATTGTGGCATGGGGCGATAGGGGCAAAAGAAAAATTAGGTACGTACTCTCAAGTCTCAAGAAATAGGTATTTGTTTATGCATAACAATGTTAAAGAAGCAGAAATCGAGCATCAATTGATGACACAGTTATTAAACTATGTCAATTTGAAAAATATTTACAATAGTGACAGTCACAGTGAAAAGTTTTTTTTCGAAACCAAACTAGGCCTACCTAACTTGCAAGCACTGCTAATGCTAGGTACTTACTTGAGTGCACTACAAATACAATGTATCGAGCTCCACGTTAGTAAATAATATTAATAACGAATTTAATTTTCATTCTGAGAGTTATGTTAGGCATGTCAGCACACATTATAACACATACTAATCTACATCGTGTTTCATGAAAGTCATCATATAGCTGTCAAAAGCTCTATTATCAAGAGGATAAAAATACTTATTACACTTTTACTCGCTTCTTTACCAACTCACCGGGATTTTTGTGGCCAGGTTGCCCCCATAAGCTGTCGGAATACAAGGGGCAGGTGGTGCTCCTGCTGAACACAGCGTCCCTCTGAGAGACCACCACCAGGGACTTCACGCAGATGAACCGTCTGCTCGAGAAGTTCCCTGGTGGTCGCAAAATCGAAATATAAAAATAAAAATATGCCGTTAGTAAAACAAGAAAGTGCATGGACTAAAAGTTACATCCCGGGTTCAGAAATGTATACACAATCAGGCGATATCACAGAAAAATGTTTTTTTCTTTGGTTTAAAAATTTCGCTTTTTCGAATTTATTTGTCTGGTTCGGCTGGAAGTAGCTTGAACATCGCAGAGCATGCATCCAGACAGCTACCCGCCGAGACTGGGAACATGAACTCGATTTGAGAATACTTCTTATTCGATATTACGTGCATCAAATGTCGTAATTTGAATAATGAAGTAGTTACTGTAATTATATAAGCTTTAAACGTCTAAACTGTCACAACTAAAATGTAACGTCAATTGATGAAAACGTATTTATTAATGTATTCAATTCGAATTTATAACGAATAACGTATTCAATTTCCATCAATTAACAAAACGTTAATTGATGAAAATTGAATTTTTAAAAATTCCCCATCACAGATTTCTCCTTTTCATCATCGTTTTCAGAGCACCAAAATCCCACAAAGTGCAAGGATGTAAATAAATATCTTTTTGTACAAGCATTTTTCCCACATAAAATTATATAGACATTTTAAAAGGCTGGATTATAATTAATGATATATTGAAATTATTTGCGATGGACAAGCAGCATGCTGACCGATTTGTTCTGGCAAGAATATTGCAGGAGCGATCTATGCACATGGCGATTAGTTTCTTTATTTCAGGCACAATCAGTGATCAGTTGCCCCTGTTACTGGAATTATTGATCGTTATAAGCGCGTCTACGTAATGTCATAAACTGTACAATCGAACGATGAAATACATCATATTACGTCTCCATGCTTACGCAATGACGTGACCTGATTCACCTGAACCATCAAAATATTTTAATGATCACACATCACAGTGGCCGTTATGTTTGCGTTCAAGTTCACACTAATTACTACAAGTTTTTGGTGTGATCACAGATAGATTCAGCTTAAACGCGTGGTTTCTTTTGAGTACAAATTACCTAGCTGAGATCAACCATGTCAGAAGTTTGTATAAACTGTAATGTTCTGAAAAGAATCAGAATTCTTGGAGATAGATGAGCAATTTTGTAGTCATTTCCCATAGAATAAATGCGAGCATCGAAGGTAGAGAATAGTTTCAAGAACAATAAATTTTTTTAAGGTAAGCAACGGAATCGTGTTAACTGTTGCAAGGTCAGCTCAAAAATCTCAAGTGAGCTAATTTTCAATCAACGATTAATATGGCGATTCCTAAGAAAGTTGTGAACGTTGCATTACAGTTTTGAACATTGCTATGTTTTCTTGGATAATAAATGTTTATTGACCCGGCAGGAAAACACCACCAGCGAGGAGATGTTGCTAAGCTTGCGCCACGTGAGGCCGGGGGGCGGGTTCCAGCCTAGGGCGCTAATGTTCCAGAAGATCGAAGTCAACGGCAAAAATACGCACCCGCTGTTTCAGGTGCGTCCTACGGTCATGTCTCTATTTAAATGTTAAGTTTTAGTCTCACGTATCTACGTGAGAACTATGCAATGACAAGATTGATCAGGTCAATGAAATGGTTGTGGAATCATTTCTTAATTTAGTTTGAGACTTGAGCTTGAAGAATCACCTCCTAGCCTGATATTTGTCAGGGGTGACATAAGGTAGATCGACTCAAGCACCAAGTGCCTGTTGTCCCTAATTTAATGGTGACCAAGCTCCGAAATACGTGTATTAAATAAAGTTTTGGTTAGTTCTTCATGACAGTTTCCCTGACATGAACGAATCAATTACCATACGCACCCCTCATTAATTCACACAAAATACATACCAGTAAGCGATGGAACAGAGACTATGAGACCGATGACGGATGCTCAGACTCATGGTTGAACTATTTAAGGTTGACCCGCGAGAAGTTCCGTCTTTCAGTTCAGCTTTATTGTTACGTCACGTAGATCAAGAAACGTAAACAAACCCGTCGAAGGGGTTTAACCGTCACTGAGATCAGTGACGTCACGGGCGAACAAAACACTACATCCGCAAAAATGGGCTTCTGATGGGTCAACCTTACACTAGTTCAACCATGGCTCAAACTAGGCAGCAGTGGCTTAAGCTCTACGATACTTACGCTATAATTCACATCTCTATTTTCAAAGACCTTGAAACACCCATTCAGTTTTTAAGAGCTAATATAATAATCATTTGTCAATACAGTTGAACGCAACTATAGCACCGACTCAAAAGCAAAGCCGTTAGGATGTCTAAAATTTATTTCCTGATCGCTAGCCGTGCCTGAGGATTGGATTACATCGTAACGTGATAGGCCAAACTCACACTTTTGTTAAATTTATTTTTCAAAAGGATGAGGCTATGCAATTAAAACACCTCTAAGCCTAGGCACAAATATAACCGATTTAGTTACAGCACTTCACTTCAAGGGACGAACACTGAAGTATACTAGTCTAGATGGAAAAAGGATGCGTCTTAATAGTTCCTACCGTGGGCACACAGGGAAAATTCTTTGCTACTGTAATTTTTATTCCAATAGTTATTGTGAACATTGACAAGCCTGAATTATAGTGTCAGTATTCAAAAACATAGTCAGTTCTTAAGTTCATTTAGTTTCAGAATTCAATTAGTTTCTTTGAGGTTTTTCGATATTATCAAAACCCTAAACATAATACGCTTATGGAACGCTCCATGAAGGCCACCAACGAAAATAAGTGACGTTCAATTCCAGGACAGCAAACGATAATCTTAAGGAAGTCGAAGTCATCCAATAAATAGAATAATTCGAAAATTTCACAACATTGCAAAGAATTTAGGACGTTTGTAACTGTCGAAATTTGACTATGTTCTATTCAAATAGTCTGTTCAAGTGCTCGAAAACTAATAAATGAATATATTACAACTGTAAAGTATTTCTATGTGAAGAATCAAATTTTGTTAACAGTTTTTAAAGAAGAAGCTGCCGACATGCGTGGATGAGACGGGCGTGATCATGGAGGATCCTTTATTGTTTCAGGTACAGCAAGAACTTTGAGACCATCAACATAGCGGCCGACATCACTCACCTGCTCGAGCTTCAAGAGACGGAGGCGCAAGACCTCAGGCGCAATATCTTACTCCATCAAACTTACTTCAAATGCGAGCAACATCAAGCCAAATGATCCTTGGATGTTAACAAGTTGTTTCAGTGATGACACAATCCACACTCATGATTTATGTTCAGATATCGCGTGCCAGGAATTAATTTTCAAATCTCTTAACTTTGAATAGGGATGTGATTTTTGGCTGTATTTTAATACAGAAATTTTCATAAAGTTCACTACGCATATTTAAAAAAAAATTCTAAGCCTCAATGATCCCTTGAACAAATATAAGTTAGTTTTAATTGTCGCTGCTGATTGATTTTTTATTGGTATCTTCATTCATATTTTATTGTGCCGGGCATGAGAACAGCCTCGATATTTGTGCAAATCGACTTGGGTGATGTCCACGTATCCATACTGGTAATGATTAGGCATGTGCGTAAAGAATATATATAAAGAGTACACTATTTAAAAAAAATTGTCTACATGTTAGAAACAAATTTGAATTTATTTTCGATATGATAGCTTTAGGATGTTGAAACCTATCAGAACAAAAAAAACTTATTTTGCACTTGTGTGTCCATTGGTGGCATATTCCATTCGGTTTCGTGTCAAGTATTCGCATTCATCTTGGAACAAAGAGGACCATATTTTTTCATGAAGAAGTATTATTACCTAGTATTATTATAATTTCACTTGAAATCTTCTGCTTACGGTGCTAGCTCCTTAGACTGTGTCTTCTGAACTTATTTAATATATTATAATGCTGAGCGGCGCTAGAATCTGTGCAACTGACAGTGCGGTAGTCTGCCGTCTGAGTACAAACTACGAAGACGAAGCTTTAAACAGTTGAAACTGTGGGCTTTGTCGGACACCTTTACTGTACACTGACGGCAGTCTATTGCGGTGTTGGGTGCGTGGCATAGGGCAGACAACTTTGAGATTTATAATAAAGGATGTTATGATGAGAGTTTTATTAAATAGTTATCAAATATGGAACTACTGATCTACGTATGTTTAGAGAATTTCTTCTATCATTATAAATGAAATCAACAGTCTTGCCCAATGCCAAATTTGCCTGCAACCGATTTTACAATCGGAAACACTTGAATTTCAAAAATAAAAATTTGCAAATTATTATTTAATGATAACTATCTACGCTTTAAAGCTTTCCTGGTCTAGGCTGGCGTACACATGATTGAACTAATACATCGTAGTTCAACCATGGGTGTACATAGGCTACGGTCAAATGTGAGCGTATTAAAGCTTAAATGAAATTCATTTTTTGGAAGTAAATAAAATTTCAAATAAGAAGCGTTTGAGACACTTGCATTAAAGTATCTTATTATGGAATACACTTTGTTTTCACGACTTAAGCCATAAAATTGGAGAACATTTTTCTTAAAACTGCATTTTCTAAGTGTTCCGAACATGAAATTCCATTACTTTCCAGAACTTTAAACTTATAAATTCATAAACAATGTTGTAAACTATTGTCAGACGAGTTTCTATTGCTCGAATAGGTAGTGGGTAGATTTACTTGTAAGACACTGCGATATATAGAAGTACAACGATTTGATGCCCTCTCTGTATATATAAAAAATCAGATTTTACAAAACAGAATATGTAAAGTATTGTATTTGAGTTTTATTGTATTTTTTGTGTGTCAAAAGTTGTTTGCACCATATGAACACAAATACGATTAAACTCTTTGGATATTTTTCTCCTATTCTCCTATTGCCAAGGCAGTGAGACGCTCAACCATCGTTGTTATGCTTTCGGCATCTATTGATGCCAATGTGAAAATGGCGTCCACTGATGTGGATCTTTGCACAAATTATCCTGATTTTGCTGTAATATGTTCGTTTATAGATAAATTTGGTGATAAGTTATCAGCTGATTTGCCTAATATTGGTGAATTACAGAGTGCATTAGAAAATACAGATGAAGGTAAGGCATTATAGTTGAATGTTTTACTGAATTGAAACAAAACTTTTAAAATACCGCGTCCAGGTCATAGAGTAAAAATACTAAATAACGATGTATTATGAGAAAACGTAATAATATTGTGCGTTTGCTGGCTACAGCATAAGTATGTTGACATAAATTAACATAACCCAATTAGATTGAAGCTCCATAATATTATGAGTCTAAGTCTCATACCTTATAAGCTTAAGATTATGATAAATGAGTCCTAGCTATTGCCTATTGAGGCCTGAGCAGAGACCAGTAGACGTAGAGTATGGACTAGACTATGGATACCACTCAATTTAATACCACGGATACCAGCATGCCTGGATTATCAATTGTCATAATTTACATAGTGGCAAAGCAGAGAGTTTTTTTAGACTCTCCCTCAAGTTCATTTTTGAGTCCTATAACATAAGTAGACCAGTAAAGTATCATGGATACCAGCATCATCATACATAAGAAATTGGTTTAGATCTTGATGACACATGAAAACTAATTCCGACACAACTTGAATTGGGCACACACAGATCGTTCAAAGCTTTGTACAAAAATTGAAATTTGCTTAATTAAAAGCCTAATAGCTGTTAATTAAAACGTAATTAAGCAGTGTTCAATATTTGTTAGTGTTCTAATTCAAAGCCGTGTTGTATCCCAATACAGCTCACACAGCAAACGGAATTCGAATACGTGGATGTCGGCAATATGTATCAGTTAAATTTGAAGCGCTGACGCAATACGACTCACCACGTGTCGAATGTTGCCACACAAAGTGATGGAATATAGGGATTTGGTAGGTTTCCATTCTAAAGGCTTTTTAATAAATATGGCAACATTTTGTGACGTTTCATCGTTGCTGACGCGTAGTGAAGTGTTTTGAGAGTCATGTGAAGGCAACAGAACTTACGTAACGCATACGTTTTTTTATAGTTTTTCATTTCTCGATGCGTCCTTAATGTGTCGGAATATACCGCGTTTACCCGATATTAAAATGAAAAAAATTCTGTGGTGTGCCATCAGCTATTATGCACTATGCATAAAGCATAATCATATAGGTAATGCATATATTATGTGGATGGTAGAGGTATATAAAACCAAATGATTTAGCAAGTTCTTGATTTTTATGCCGAGGTTGTTGAGGTAGGTATTATGAAAGATCTTAAGATATTTGGTATTACTTTATATTAAGTGCATCAATAAAAAGGGCGTTTTTTTTAATTATATGTTTTTTGGGGTGTAGATTAAGAATCTGAAATCAGTTTTCTATGTTTGGAGTCCGTCCAGCGGACGGAAAAACCTAGCCAATAAACAAAAACCTTGCAGGTTAGGTCCAGTTAGGAACAGGTTCCATTAAAAATTTCCAATGTCAACCGCCAAAAGCGGATTTTAAATTCTTAAACTACACGACTACACCCCAAAAAACATAATTAAAAAAAATACCCTTTTTTTGGATGCACTTAATCTAAAGTATTACCAGATATTTGCTTGTTCTTTGCACCCCTAAATGGAAAATTGGCAGAAGAATTAATCTGTGACTGAGACAGAAATGGACTGATTCTATCCAATTTCATAGTTTCACCCATTTCTATGGCCCTTCCAACTTTGTTAGTAAAAATGGCCAATTTTTTTGTACATATTGTAGCCTTATAGGCAAAAATAGTGAGTAGATTTAAAGGAGTAGATTTAAAGAGGCAAAGCAGAGAGTTTTTTAGACTCTTCCTCAAGTTCAACTTCGAGTCCTATAAGTGTATTAGCAAAGTATCATGCAGGTTGAGAAAAGTCCTACTCTGTTCTGAAATATTGTGGCTCTAATATCATATAATTTTAGTAGGTATGAAATCTCACAGCTCAAATGTCATGTATTTTTGTTTGATTGAAAAAATAGTGGTTTGCACTTTGCAAACATGTTGTTTATAAAATTTTCAACTTCCACAATCCGCATTACTTCAAAGAACAACTAGAAAATCATGTAAAAGCTACCTGTAAAATAGTTGGGAAAAGTTCTACTTTTGTCTGAATTATCATGGTTCTAATATCCTATAATTTCAGTAGGTATGAAATCTTGTTGCTCTAATGTTATGTATTTTAGTCTGATCTAAGAAATTGTGGTTCACAAACTTGTCATTTCACAAAATTTTCAACTTCCACAGTTCAGACCACGGTCTTGCAATAATGATTTCGTCACTAGCCTGTGAATGAGACAGGTCCAGAAAAACCCTAGATTGGCACCAATTTGGAATATCAGGCAGAAGTTTCCTAAATAGCTGGCTAAAGCAATCATTTCACAGATTATTTGTAAAAATCACTGTCATAACTAAGTTTTTTCATATATTACATGGAAAAAATTGTAAATAGCCCAGGTGAAATTGGCCATATTCATGATTTTTTGCCCAATTCATGGATGAACTCTGCCCAATTTTTGCTTAGGGCTTGGCAAGCTTGCCCATTCTAAAAAATTCAAAATTAAGCAGCAGCTACTGCCAATTGCAAATTAGACAAAAATGCCCATGTTTGCAGTGAATATTTCTGGTATGTATACCTAGCCCTTTCCTGATTTTTTTTATAAGAAAATTGGCAAATTAAGCCTGTAAATTTGAAAAGTAATCATTAAATGGCATTTATTACAACAATTTTGGAAATTCCACTGATATTTCTTATTTGCTGCTTGCAATCAATTCCACCTGTTCTTATGATCCTTTACTATTTTCTGTATTAAAAATTTAAAAAGTTGTATTTTTGCCTTCAATTTTCAAAAATCACCTTTGAAACAATTTTTTCACATGGCTGAATATTTTTCACCAAGTTAGTTGGGATATAGTGGAATCTTGTAGCTCCAAAAATGGTGGCTGTACAAATACTAGATGCAAATCATAAATAAAGTACACCTGAACATATGATTTAAGCAATAATTCTTCTAGCAGGAAATACACAGCTACAAAAATGGTGGCTTTGGTCTTGCCACAAATTAAGTTTTTGAGATAGTCTTGGTAAATAATCAGAAAAAGTTAAATGAATCAATTATTAGTTTGCAATATTATAGTTTGCATTGAACTTGATTGTAAATCGTTTTCACATTACAAAAAGACCTTTCAAGAGGTTTTCATGCTATTAAGGAAAGGTAGCAGTAGACATCTACAATATTATAAAAAATTGTAAAACTTTTCTGCTAGTCTTGGATTTTGTATGCAATGGAATTTATTTTCCACTTAGCAAGGCTGGGCTAAAATTTTATGGCAGTCATTTTTTAGATTTTGTTATTTTCAATTTTTTGGAATTCTATTTTGTCAAATATAATGTATTTCTTAGCCCTAATTCACTTGTAATTTACATTTTAATATTGTTTTAAATTCAAGCCTACTTCCTTTGTTTATAGCAACATGGTTTAATTTTGCAATCATGTATGTGTGTTTTGTTTTGCTGCTATTAGTGCCATATTTGTGAGTTGGAACATTGTTGGTGCAGGGATGCATATATATACTGTCAATCTTCACTGAAGGATGCTGCAAATTACTTTGATTTACTTAAGCATTTGGCTAATGGTGTAATTTAATTTGTACCTTAATTTACAGACAAGGTTTTCTCATAAGCTATGATGTACAATGTTTCTTCATAGTTGAAATTTCTGAGCTGATTCTTAACCTTTGTTGTCATGATTACCAACGTTCAGGATGTTATTAGTGTAAGTATTGTATTGTGCAAATTCTTACATTGTTTCTATGCTTGCAGTTAGTCCAGTGATTGTGCAGCTGGTTCTGCTGCTGCTGCGGAAGCTCAACAGAGCCACCAAGATAGACAGATGGGAGAAAGCCTTACAGAGATTTGCTCATCTTCACTCCCTTAAAGATGGGTGGGAGCTTGAGAGGTTTGGCTTCAAACAGGCTCAGCTTGAAGTCAAAATCAGAGTTTTAAAGGTAAGAAAAACTTTGATGTATTATTTAGAGTTCTGTTTCTAACTGTGATTATGTAAGTACAAAAATTATGTAAGTCTAAATGTGATTATGTAAGTACAAAAAATTATTATCTTTTGGTACAATCCCCCCCCTTTTAAAAAATGTCATTCTTCTCATATTTATTGGAAAAGTGTGTTTTAGAAGTTTATATATATGGTACCTAAATTTTTCATTCTCTTAGCTATTCTCTCCCATCATCTAAATAATCTGGCTTGCCATGTGGAAAAAAGTCATACTGTGTAACTTCATTGTTTCAATTTTAAATTATTCATGTTTAACATACTTAAGTATATTGAAATCACCACTCCATCTTTAGCATATTTATGTCCTACATTTACCCTCTCTATATCGGTTAAAATACAGACATGTAAATGGAAGTTAAAGTGCATTTATCTCTTGATGTTATTGTTTCTCTAGTTATCATTATTCAAATTTAGCACTATCAACATTCCTCAGTGTTTTGTTTTCATTTCAGAATCTATTTGAAGCCCTGTTTGATAGCTGCAAAAGCTTCAAAGACAAGATCAATGGGTTAGCTGCCCGTGAGCTGCGGCTGCTGCCGTGCGGCAGAGACAAGCGTGGCATCATGTACTGGTGGCAGATGGATGAGTGCGCCAACCTTAGGATATATAAAGATGACCAAGACGAAGAAACCTGGACGCTGGCTGCCAGGTTAGTGATACTAGCATTTTAAAATCATTTGTATCTCGATGTTTACTTAACTGATACTCTACTTATATCTTGATGTTATATTTGTGCTGAGTTTAACCCTTTTCGTGACTGACGGGAATTCTTGGTCCCAAACCACTAGGTACGAATAGCAGTGACGATGGTAATTGTATCCAAGACAAAAGGGTTAAACATCCATCATCAATATCTTTGAAGTTTAAACCAAGCATTTTGTTTCTTCTGACTCGCATTACTTGTGCAGTTCTCGTGAAGAGTTGGTAGCACTTCTCAATGAACTGGAGAGTCTGAGCCCCGGTGGAGGAGTGAGTCGCGAGATCTCAGTGGAGGGAAGCTCGAGTAATAGTCCACTGGAAGGCCTCAGTGAAGCCCCCACGCCAGTAGCCAGCAGTCGCGCGTCTCCTGTAGCCAGTGGACGCGCCTCGCCGGTGTGTGACAGTGGGGTGCCTCAGAGCGTTGATGTGGACACCGGACAACATAGTAGAAATAATAGCACTGAAACAACTGCAAATGTTACTGAAGTAATTCCAAACGTTGCTGATGCTGATGCACTAACTTCAAATGTTGCTGATGCGGCTGAAGTAACACCAAATGTTGCTGATGCGGCTGAAGTAACTCCAAATGTTGCTGAAGTTGATGCACTAACTTCAAATGTTGCTGATGCTGCTGAAGTAACTCCAAATGTTGCTGATGCGGCCGAAGTAACTCCAAATGTTGCTGATGCGGCCGAAGTAACTCCAAATGTTGCTGATGCGGCCGAAGTAACTCCAAATGTTGCTGCTGCGGCTGAAGTTACTCCAAATGTTGCTGATGCGGCAGAAGTAACTCCAAATGTTGCTGATGCGGCCGAAGTAACTCCAAATGTTGCTGATGCGGCCGAAGTAACTCCTAATGTTGCTGATGCGGCTGAAGTAACTCCAAATGTTGCTGATGCGGCTGAAGTAACTCCAAATGTTGCTGATGCGGCCGAATTAAGTCCAAATGTTGCTGATGCTGCCGAAGTAATTCCAAGTGTTGCTGATTCTGCTGTAGTAACCACTTCTTTTGATGTTGCTGAACGAACTCCAGCTATAGCTGACATAACAGAAGCACCTCCCACGAACGCTGACATTGTCGCTGCATCTCTTACTAATTCCGACGTTACCGCAGCACCTCTCACGAACACCGACGTCTCTGAAGCACCTCCTACTAACGCAGACGTTGCTGCAGCACCTGCTACTAATACCGACGTTGCCGCGGCACCTCCCACTGATCCAGACGTTGCTGCAGCACTTTCTAACGAAAAAATTGCTGCAGCACCTCCTAACGCAGACGTTGCTGCAGCACCTACTAACGAAAAAGTTGCTGCAGCACCTACTAACGAAAAAGTTGCTGCAGCACCTCCCACAGATCCGGACGTTGCTGCAGCACCTCCTAACGCAGACGTTGCTGCAGCAGCACCCACTGATCCAGACGTTGCTGCAGCACCTCCTACTAATGCTGACATTAATACAGAACCTCTCACCAGCTCTGAAATAACTGACACACCTCCCTCCAGAGTACCTCCTAGTTCAGAGACGAAATCCTTGTCCACCAGAAAACTGACCTCAGATTCCGAGAAAAGTGGTGAGAGAACTGAAGAGGCGGTGAACATTCTAACAGTCCCTGAGGCAGAAAAATCATTGATGGATGTAACTACTTCGGAAAGTTCTTCAGCTCCGGACTGCAGCCTACCGAAGGACGAGAAGGAAGATAAAGAAAAAGATTCATTTCTTGATACCAAGAAGCTTCCAGCGGAATCCAAAATTGATGAGAAATGCTCGGAACCAGCGATCAAACGCTCTGATAAAAGTACGGCACCAAAAAACTTGGAAGAGAACATAATTGAAAGTGAATTCAAGTCACAGAGAGTTGCTAAGGAAAAAACTGATGTGAGCAAAGTGTCTAGCTTGCTACGTAAGGAGGATGCATCATCTGAGAATCCTCCTATCAACATGGATTCTGAGAATAAAATCGTCGAGCGAATTGAATCTTCTAAAGTTCTACCTGAAACTATTGGAACTTGTTTAAAAGTACCTGAATCAATGGAAACTTCGATTCCAACTTCTCGTCAAACATCCGAAATTGGTGAAACCTCAGAGAAAAATCTTGAGGAGGTTGGAGATTTAAAAACATCGAAGGTCAGCGATGTAAAAAATATAATTAGTAGTTCGAAAAAACCTCCTATAAAGCAAATAGAAGCAAGTAAACGACCTCCTGAGCCTGATGGACGTTTAAAAAGTCCAACAGAAGGGAGAAAATCTATCGCAATATGTTCGGGTTTGAGCGAAGGTCCGCAAAAAGTTTCTCCAACAATTAGCCTTCCCTCCGTTGAGCCTAGCGGTCAAAATGAATCGGATAAGAAGCGACAAGATGACGCTGACGGAGTTCTTAGGTCGGATGAAGGAACTCTGAGACCCAAAGAAAGCACTGGCTCTGCAGCAACACAATATGATGAAACAAAATCAGATTCAAGCACTGGGCACAAAACTGTAACAGCTGAAAAAATTGAATGCAGCAATATAAGTGATGCATCAGAGAAATATACCTCTCAAGGAAATGAGACCACACTATCTTCATCTTCGTCAGAAAAACCAAGTGCTAATACTGAAGGTTTTAATTCTTCTACGGCTTCCAAGACAAGTAGTGAAACTTATTCCTCTCTAGTATCTAAAGATGTTGCAAAAGTCCCAGAAATTACACATACTAAAGGTAGCAAGTTTTCAAATGCTATTTCAACATCATCTGACTGCATTGAAGGTAGCAAAGAATCGAGTCCAATGTCTACCCCGAGCGGAACGTCTTTAACCAGCTCTGAAACTTTAAGTGATGGTTTTGTTAAAAAACTTGTCAAGGAAAACGCCCCAGGAACCCTCAATGAAAGTAAATCTCTTAATCCTGCCGACAAAGCTGGCTCCGGAGCTTTAGGAAATATGCCTGAAGAAAAAGACCATTGTACAAAGCTAAAATCTGATCTTGAAACGTTAGAAGTTCAGCCAGAGAAAGCTTCCCAAGAGATTGGAAATCAATTTATGTTTGGGAAAGCTGAAAGTAAAAATCAAGGCAAACTCTTACGAGTTTTTGGGAGCTCAAGCAGCACGGGCTCTGCGAAAGAGAAGGCAGCTGTCAGTGGTTCGTTTGGAGACGTCTCCAATGTAGTCAAACCCGCTGAAAAACTGGATCCTGCTGAGTCACACCTGGGAATATCTAAGCAAACTATAACGCCGGTTGATACGCCGCACCTCAGTTCATATGTACATGATTCTTCTGGTAATGATCCAAACAAAAGCTATGAAAATAAGAACGAACCCAAAACGACAAACGTCGATCGGTCACGGGGCAGTGGTATGTCTGAGAAAAATTCTGTGCCAAGTTCGGTTAAACCTGCTGAGAAAGTGAGTGATTCATCCAGTTCTTCTAGTGTTCCAATTTTGAATGATTCAGACCAATGCGATAAAGTAAGCACTTCTTCGAGTCATGTTTCTGATTCGTCAACTTCAATAGACGTCACTCAAAAAACCATAAGTCAATCGCTTCATACTACACCTAAAGAAGCTTCCTTAATCGCTAGCAATGTTTCTGTTAGTATTAAGCAAACCGAGATAGAGACACCTGCAATAAGCTCTGTTGAAGCGAGCACGGCCAGCCAGACATCAGCTCCGTGTGATGAAGCAACAGTCGAAACTGATTTTCCGAAAATTTTAAACCCTGCTGTTCAACCTTCTAGCAGACCATCTCTATCTGATGATGTAGATGGATCAGTCACTCGCACACGCGATGCACAGAAAGATGGCGAGTGCGTGAAGGAAAAATTAATTTCGGATTCTTCTGGGTCAAATCCATCAGCAATGACCAAGGAACAGAAAAACAGCAAGGAAGAGAGTGTTGACAAGAGCAAAACTCCAAATGTTGAAAAATTGCAAGAAAACGAAGTTACTGTTGGGCGAAAACCTCCTAGTTGTGACTCCAAATCTGAAGTGAAGTGTGACGAACGATCTTCATCTAAACTTCAATTAGACGATAGTAATTCTAGTCTAAAAGACGATTCCAGCAGCAAGAAATCCGACCAAAAATCGGAAGATCTGAAAACGGAAAAAGTGAATGAACCAGGAAAAATGGGCAACGTTGTTCAGGGACCTGCTAAAGAAGAAGATTCAATTGTAGAAACGTCATCTTTGATACCCTCAACAGTGCCTTCAGTAACTGAGACAGTGCCACCCTGTCAGCCACCAGATTTTATAAGAGAGTCGAAAAATAGTGACGTAATTCCCTCAAAGTCTGTCGAGTCTTCATCTGTAACATCTATAGAGCCCTCTTTGAAACCTGCCGACGAGCTGGCTAGTTCTAAAAAAATTACGCCTGGAGTTTCCGCGTCATCTTCCACAGAACTTAAGAAAAAGCCGCGCGAAGATGACGAAGAAGAGCCTACTGATGATATCCCCATCAAGAAAAAAATCAAGCTAGATCGCGGGGGATCTAAACCGGTTGGTGTCTCGAATCTTAGTTCTGAAGAAAAGTCCAAATCCCATGCTGCAGGAGAAAGTATAGCTTCAGATGACGTAATTTCCGAGCCCGTTATGATTATAAAAGGCGATGGAGAGGGCGCTCAGAATGAGGCCGGCATCACAAATCACTGTGAAAACGAAGAACCTTTTGACGAACACTCAGATTCAGAGTTACGCCCTCCTTTTCGAGTCGTAAAATTCAGTGAAACTCGTGAGCAAAGTACGAGATGTAAAATAGAAGTTAATGACTTGGCACCTGAAAATAACTTCATTGGGATGGACTGTGACGTTGCTTCTGAGAGTTTAAATTTGAGTGCTGTACCTTCAGAAATTACTGAGCACAGTTGCGAATTATCTAAATGCCAGTCCATACCTTGGTGGGAGCGATTCGATTGCCCTGCCTCGAGAAATGGCAGCATTGGTGCATCTGTTACGGAAGAAGTTCTATACACTTGGGGTGAGGGCGCTGGTGCGGAGTGTCTCACTGGCAACAGCAGTGACGAGTCGTCCGAGGCAGTTGCTGAAACCAGAAGGAGTGTGCGAAGCATCGCAATTTCAAAGAAAAACAAAGAAATCTCGCGTAAAGAAGATGAGACGAGTAAAATTAATGAAGTTGATGTCAACGTCAATAATGACGAGGACTCGAAAGCTGAGAATGGGAAAACATCTGTTGGAGATGAAGATGACAGCTCAAAAACTTCTGGTGAAGGCTCAAAGGTTAATGGCGTTGATGAGTCAGATAAAAAGGAAGATGACGAGGTTACAAAAAAAGATATCACATTAACTTCTTCTGATACAAATGCAGAAGTTGGTCCTATCAAGAACAATTCCACAGTCTCCGAGTTCAAGTTGGATGGCGAACCATTTCTAGCAGAATATTCTTCTGTGAAGAGCGATGCCATGAAAAATGGAGAACTTCGCGATGTAGACTCAAAAAATGAGAAAATTGGGACTCCAAATGGGAAAAATAATAAAAAAGTCAAAGATTTAGCTGCCGATACAAAGGCAGAAGACGCCGATAATGGAACAGAGGCGCCAGAAGAAACGGCTCCAGTTTCAGCGAAGAAAAGAGGAAGACCCAAAAAGAGGGGAGGGAGTCGGGGTAGACCATCAGGAAGTATCTCCTCTCGAGGCGAGGCCGAGAAGAATGGCAACTCGGATGACGCCACGTCCCCACCGAGAAAGAAATCTAAGAGTGAAAGTGTCCTCGTGGACGATATTAATGATGGAGGGGATGGAGGTAAGTACCGCTACATTAAGACGCTCAATATTAAATGCAAACAATGCATGCATTTTATAGGACAATGAAATACACGAAAAAATATAACTCGGTACTCACTGCAGTGAGTGACAGAGAGCGCATTTTCTCGTCGACGAAAACTTGAGGTCACGGACGGACGGACAGACAGATGGACATGGCGAGCACAATAGTGCATTTTTTCCATAAATGAGAAAATGCGCTAAAAATCGGATGGAGTCTTTAGATTCATTTCGATCATATGATCGAGGGTGATTCGAACCAAAGCATGAATTCCCAGCCAAGGAAAACCCAGCATTGCTTCCTTATTGGCCTGGCAAACGTCACCTATTATACACCTAAACCTGACTTTTTTGCTTGCTACTCGAAATGATTGAGGATTTGCAAGCCGTAATCAATGAATGATAGGGGGTTTGGGAAATAACTAGAACTGTTAACCTATTTTTACTGCATTAGACAGTTCGTTTTGAATCAGTCAAGACTTGTAAAGGCCATGGAGTTGCCATATAAAATTAATTTTTATTCAACGAAATTCATGCTCAATTTATTCCATTTCTTAGAATGAATCAAATAACGTTTCTTTTGAGTAGGTAACTCCCCAAAAGTAACATGTAATGAAATAGTAACTAAATAAAACATAATTATTTTGAAGAACAGTTTTTGGTGGTAAAGGCGTAACTGTCTTGCTGCCGCCGCTGATGAATCAGGCCTTGACTTAATTTTTGATGTACCTCAGTTCGGCGCCAGCGATCTGCGCGCATTGCCAAGCTACGCGAGAAGGAGCTGCTGGATCGCCAGAAGCTGGAAGAAATGCGCCTCCAGGAACTGGCTGAAGAGTATTGTTTACTAATAGTTAAGAGTACATGATATTGTACAGCATTTCGTTTAAACTAAGAATCTTTATTAGTACCTAAATGAAAACTGGCGGTTTAGAAATTTTGGTTCACTTGAAAAATATTAACACAATTGACATATCTATCATTAGTAAAAAATTAAATTTAAAATTCATTCTAACTAATTATCAAGTGTTGAAAACTCTTTTCGTCTATATTTTCTAGCTGTATGCGGTGTTGAGTGAGTTATAGTTCAGTGAATTGAAGAAGCTGCGATATTCTAGTCTAGCACGCGACGCATGTTCAAATAACACCACTCGCCTCGTGGCTTAATTAAGTGCAGTTAATAATTGGATTACCAGCAATTATCTAATTATCTAGAGTAAAATTATTGTGTGTCACTCTTATCGTTTACTCCTCATTTTAGGTTCACCGAGACAAGAAGAAAGAAAAGAAGGAGAAGAAAGTAAGTTTGTATGAATGATAAGTATGTAATATAATATATATACGCAATATTCCAGCATTGACGTAAGTGCTTTATGCCCTTGAAATAAATTGTTTAATGTAGCACAAAGGTTGAAGTGATAACGGTAACATTGCCTTCCATCTAATTGCTCTAATTCACGCTTCTGAAAAGAATGAAAAAAAAAGATTAGATTAGAACGTTTCTGAAAAGATTAGAAGACCTTCATGAAAAACCTCTATTCATGCATGTATTTTTTTCTTGAATTTTTATTTAATTCTGACAATTCTCCTCAGGATCGCGAGAAAAAGGAGAAGATCCACAAAAAAAGGAAGAAGAAAAAGCACAAGCGCAACCCCAATGACCCGTGGGCAGCGTCATCGTAAGTACCGTGCATGTACTGCGCTGCGTCGTGCAGCGTCATCGTAAGTACCGTGCATGTACTGCGCTGCGTCGTGCAGCGTCATCGTAAGTACCGTGCATGTACTGAGCTGCGTCGTGCAGCGTCATCGTAAGTACCGTGCATGTACTGTGCTGCGTCGTCATCAGCACGAGCCTCACTGCTTTTTCTAAGCTGGGATAAGTGAATGGGTCGTAGTGTCCAAAAGCTGACACACTTCCTGCTCGTAGCACTGATACGACCATATCAGGTGAAAGTTGGAGTGCATGGCCCACATAAGGGCAAAAGGTGGATCGTTATTCGGACAAATAATCGCCTATTTCTCTGACTGCAAGCTTATACTGACTCAGCTGGAGCCTAAAATTTAGCTGATTTGCTTGTGGGTCTTGGTGACTCTTTCTGAATAAAATCGGCAAGATTGACAACGTTCATTGATATTCCAGAAAATAGATTCAGAATATGCTGCTAGATTATCAAGACTTAATAATTTTTAATTACTTCCGCAAAATTATGTTATTTTACTTCATTTTTTTCACAGTACAAATGTTCATTGTCTCGTAAGAAATATACATTTTGGTGAACAGGTCGAGTTCTGAAGAAGATGACGAGGAGGAAGAAGAGGAATTCATGGAAGAGGAAGTGGAGGAGAACCTCGTCTTCAAGAGCGACCACGAGTTCTCGCCCGAGTCTGACTTGGGAGAAGACGAGGCCGTGCCTGTCAAGAGGGCCCGAACTGCCATCGAAGGTAAGATGAACCGCCATCGATTTTGAGGTGAACCGCCATCAATGGTGAGGTTCATTTCTAGGAGCTGAGGTGAAGCAGTGGTGAAAGACTCATTCTCGCATCCAGCGATCCTGGGTTCGAGTCCCACGCATGAAAAGTTCTTTTGGGATTCTCAGCTAATGGTCAACTCGGCCATTAGTTCAATTCCGCCTGATAAATGAACATGTCTTGTCCAGAGTGATGTGTAATGCAAACAAAATTAGTTTGGCTGTTACAGCGAGCTATTAATGGTCGTAGTCGTAACAACCAGTGGCCTTAGTGCCCTGAAAAACAGACCTATCACCCCCGCCCTAGTCGCCACTACCAGGAGAACAATTCTAACATTAAGGTTCACTTCTTATCGAGTCGATTTCGTTGAAACATCGTTACGTTAATCGACATTCCTTTAACTTCAAATGCCTGGTTGATAAATTATTTATACGTTTTGCCAAGCATAAAAATTGTGTAGACTTTCTTTTACACTTTCTTACTGTTTAGTTACACATGGATGATAATAATGAAGTAAAAGTGCGTAAATGTACTCAAATGAAGGCAAATTATTCCAGATCTGAAATGGTTAAGATGAAATAATTTTAGCTTCCAAGTTGAAAATATGTGAAAAAAATAATATAGGTAACGAATTATGTATGCATGAATATTCGTTTAAATAAATTTTGAAGAGGGAAAATCTTACACTGCACAGGAGACAAGAACTTTTAATCCAAGAACATTTTACAGTGATCTTTGTAACTCGGGATTCCGACATTTTTCTGGGGCCCTTTGGAGCCAATTTTCTGCCGGCATGAAGGCGATTCTCATTTTTCTTAGGTATCTGTACTTGATTATTGAAAACGTAGTCGAGTGTTTGAGCTGGCAAGCTTATGAAAGGGATAAAATCTTGAGTGGCATTCAGGGCAACATGTTACTTGACAAAAGAAATTATTGCTTATTTTTTGTCCCACAATTGCTCTATGACGTTGCTTTTTTAAGAGCTTAATGCAATACTTGAAATGAAGAGTACTGAAAATATCGTTAACTGGAACGTTAATGTGTATTAATCCAATCATCTTTCTCCTCAGAGAAACAAATGCTGAAGGAACAACTGCAGCAAAAGCAGCTGCAGCAGAAAGAGTTGAGCCAGGACGACAAATCAACCAGCGAGGAAACCCAGGCTACCGAAGATGATGGCACCCCCAAAACTGAGGAGTCTCTTGACGACACCAAGTGCGAGAAATGCGGCCACGAGGATCATCCCGAGACTATCCTCTTATGTGATCTCTGCGACCATGGCTGGCATCTGTCGTGCCTTAGACCGCCTTTATTGGCCGTGCCTGAGGGAGAGTGGGTCTGTCCAGACTGCCAACATGTGAGTCTAACGATTGCTGTGTTTTGAGGCGAGCTCTCCATCGATGTCAGTTCATTTCGGCATAAAGATAGTGTGAAAATGATGACATCAACAACTAGCATGTAGTGATGGACGCTGGTAGTGTGAAAATGATGACAGACAACTGGCATGTAGTGATGACGCTGCTAGTGTGAAAATGATGACAAAAACAACTTGAATGTAGTGATGGACGCTGGTAGTGTGAAAATGATGATAAAAACAACTTGCATGTAGCGATGACGCTGATAGTGTGAAAATGATTGCAAAAACTAGTTGAAATTTGCGTTGACACGATATATGAGATTTAAATATCCGCCTCCCTATATGAATAAAAACCATTTTTTGTGCAGCTGGAGTTGATTCTGAAGTTGAAGCAATTACTGAATAAGTACGACGCAACTCAGAAGCGCGCTGAGGCGCTTCAGCTCAATCAACAGCGCCTTGACATGGTCAACGCCTCGCTCCAGAACGTCATCAAGAAGAAGAAACGTCGTGATGGTTCTAGGGATGGCCGGGATTCTTTGAGTGACGTACGAAATTTTATCTTTTGTTTTGCCTTTTTCATGTCCTTGAACTATTTCTTTTCATAATTTTTACGTCAAATAATTGGTGTCATATTTTGAATGGAAGAAATTTATTCCATTCTTTGGAAGTATCAAAAATATGCATCATGTCGGGATGGTTGTGAACCTAAACTGGCTCAGATGAAAAATTTACAGAAGTTTTTTCAAACAAGTCTCGTTCCCACGTGATGGTCTCTGTAATTATAGTGTATTATTATTATTATTATTATGTTAGCAAGCTATCGTCGTGTTCCATTTCTAATTCATGCTCTGCACCACGTCAGGACTCATCAAGTGGCGACGATAGTTCCTCGAGTGTTGGCTCTTCTACCTCGTCCGACGACGATGAGGTGGGAGACAGCGACAGCTCTGGCCCCCTGTACACATTACGCGCGCGCGTCTCGCAGCCGCTCAAGCAAAAATTCGAGACATTTGACGAGCTCATCGATGACGCTATTAGAGTGAGTGTAGTCTCTTATTAAATTCTTGATTCTATTAAATTTTATACTATCTCTAGGCTTCTTTCGATTTGAAAAATAGTGAATGGGTGTGTAACCGTGTGTTTTTGTCCCTTCTATTTCTTCTGTAACTTTAAATTTTAATCCGTCGCTTTTTTATGTGGAATAATTGTGTAACTTTTTAGTTGTGTTTTACTGTTGGGAATTCATTCAAATTTACAATTCGTGGATACTTGAGATTGTCAAGATCTTTGTGTCAAATTACAGTAACTCAGGGTGTTATTTTCTGGCTTGGTATTTGGGGAGAAAAACTTTTGTTCTTTGTCATATTACACTGACGTTGTTAACGTTGCTGCAGGACGAGATGGAGGCCGCAGCAGGAGCAGGTAACGCAGGACGTGGCAAGGACATCGGAAACATCCTACACGCGGAACGCCAGGACGAAGAAGCTTTTCAGGAGCCAGCAGACGATGACGCTGCAGACGAGGCAGACCGCATGAGCGTTGATGAAGAGGACGTGCAGCTAGCGGCCAAGAAGGAAACCAAGCATGTTGAGTTTGCAGACGAGAAAGTAAATAACGACGAGGAGGTGAAGACTGAAACTAAAAACGATTTGCCGCACGAGACTGAACCGAAAGAAGACAAAGAAGAGGAGGTTGCTGAGAAGAAAGTGGACTGCAATAAGGATGGAACTGAAGACGATGAGGATGAAGTTGTTGCTCCTAAGCGCAAGAAGAAGGTTGTCCTCAAGGACAGTGAAGATGAAGGCGTAAGTGTTTTTCTGAGAATATCTCTTAATCTTATATCTCTGCATGCTGTAGAATATCTTTTTACTCTATATACCTACTTTCTTTCACATTGTGGAGGTGAGTACACTTATTATGAAGGGTAGGAGACCTTAAAAGAGACGATAACGTTTCGGTTCTGAAATCACTATATAAATACCTTGGAACATTATAGGTGCAGTTAAAATTTACCATTCAATATTTTTTAAATTTTATTATCTAATAGAGTTTGTAGACAAGTTCATAAAATTTTAACTGCATTGGTTTCTTTTATTAGTACGCAATTCTCGTTTTTTCGTAATTTGTTACAAATTTATCTTTTGACGTCTATAGCATTGAGTAATTATGACATCAGTCATTGAAGAGGCTTGGCAGTATATCTGTTTATGCATGAACAGGAGGACGACGGCGGCAACAGAGACTCTGACAAGTCGGCGTCAGAGTCTGACCAGGACGAGGAAGCGCCGAGAGGTC